TTTTCTTAATGAGTGTGTCAAAGGTAAAATGGCTAGACCGGAGGGAGTATCATTCTTCTATGCATATTGAAATTTATTTTTTTGTTTCTTTTCGATGTGGTTCTCTCTTTTTGGCATAGACAAATTAAAGATTAAGAGTTGATAAATTTGAAGGGGGAACAATTTGGAGGGCTACTAGGTTTCACAAAGCATAATTAAGTTGATGAAAATAGTGAGATAAATTGTCAAGAATAGGCTATTTTGTTAAACAAGTGAATAAGGAAATAGAAAAAGGAACAGTGAGATTGGAATCCAAATCCTATTTTGGCTTAGCTTTGTTCTAATTTTGGGTTTTGGATAATAATTAATGTGCAGAGTTACATTTAGTCCTGAAAGAACTAGTTTTATATGTTGGAAATATTGTTTCTGAAAACATCTCTTTGATATTTTTTTTTTTTGGAAAATAAAAACAAATATTGGTTGTTCTGAAAGTAAAACAGTACTCATAATTTAGGTTATTTGGAATAAACAGTTCTTTTATCCCCCAACTAATTTTGAAAATCTGCACAAAAATTTACGACAATTACCATTTAGCTAACAGGTATCAACACTTGATTTTTATGAAAGTAAGGTCCTCAATAGTTGCCGGCAATTATCTTACTCGCATAGAATGTTTACACTAAATTCATAAGTGTATGACATGTATTTGTGAAAGACTTATCTTACTTGATCATGATTAATAGCACATATTTTCACGTAATAAAGTTATAGTTTGATGTAAACATTCCAAATGTATCAACAAAGCTTTATCCCACTAAGCCGATATTTTTTAACAAGTGCTACATGGCCTAATTTACTCCTTAAGATCTTTTGCTCATATGCATATGAAAAGAAAGACTGAAATACGATACATCGTATGCATAATGAAAAAGAGTTTTTGCTTTGTACATGACCAAGTTAAATTAGTCTACAATATCAAGTAACTTTTCATAACATGCTTGATACGGTAACTTAGAGTAATAACCTATCAAAACGGATTAAATTAATTACTACTATATAATTTTATTTTCACGTGTATATAATTTCAACTCAATGAAGAAAACATAATGTACGCTCTTATCAAAATATATCCATCACCTTAATTTCTCTTCTTGAAGTTAAGAAAAAAATTTGATTCACATTTACAAATGTAATTGTCAATTTGATATGAACTGACGATAACTTAGGAGTAATTGTTTTTTTTAATATCTAAAATTTTCCGTAAAAAGGTTAATTTAATACTAATTTTAATAAAATTTAATGGGACAATTAACCTTCGGTGACGAAAAGAGCTACTAGTAAAGGTTAAAGATTAAAGATTAATAGGGGAACTGCTGAACTGTATGTGTACTGAAGGAGAGGAACATCGCTGTACCCTACCGGGTGGTAAAACCAACAAGCCAAATAGAATAATAATAACAATAATATTCTACTTAGTACTAGTGAATACCAAATATAAATAATTGAAAGATGTACAACGAAAGGATCCTACTAACATTTGTCGTTGAAAATGTCATGCATGACGTAATCATCTCATTTATAGATTTTTTTATTTATTTTACCCCATTTATGTATGGTGCGAAGAAATCAAGACCATAACCAACTAGTTAGGATAAATGAGCAAAAATTATGTATACGGTTAAATAGGGCGCAAGGTATATCCTATTCTTTGACAAAGTAAGTCAAGCATGAGACAAGATGACAGGGGATCGAAATCGGGGCAAGAGCCTCATCGAGTCATGGTTCAGAATCAGTCCTAATCTTGAACGACTTCGAAGAATATTATCGGGCAATCAAGCACGACCAACGGAGGGCCGTTATGTCCTGGACCGGCCGGATATAACTCTCGTGCTAAGGCACGAACAAATCGCTTACCACCGGAGCCATCGAGACCACGCCCCCCGAATTCAGTTCGAGCTCCAAGACCTCGGAAAAGCCTTACCAAACGGTTGCATATGACTAACGAAGGGCCGTGATATCCGCGCCCGATCGGATATCACGACGCGGATCTCGGCCCATATCGGCAGCAGATAAGTGATTAACGAAAGAAGATTTTTACCTTTATTAGAATTGTACTAGGGATAAAAACCCTCATACTATATAAAGGAGATAATTTTTATTCAAAGGACACACTATAACACGCAATCCAAAGCAATATATTATTATTTTCTCTATTATTAGCTCTTTCTCTTGTTCATCACTGGCCATAGTGAGCCCGATCGAGGACAAATACTTCATTAAGGCTAAAACTATCATCCTTATGTGGTTTGAATCCATTTTATCTTTGTTTGTTCAATTTGACTTAATCTATCGCTTTATATCAAATTAATCCGCATATCCTTAAAACCACTTACAAATTTAATTGTTATCCGATTTTGACGGTAAATAGATTCACATGGTGATACATGTTACTATAAGTTAATATTATTTTGAGAAATATATAGCAAGGTGGGGAAGATTAAATTAAATAAAGTTTTCAGTGATTATTTTATTTCAATATCTAAATCTATTACTAACTCATATCTTTAGACTTTATATTTGAGATTAATTCTTCTTCTTTTTTAATCTGAATAATTACCGAGAAAAAATCAACTAAAACTCTCTCCATGATCCCTTTAAGATCTTGAAATAATATTTTAGTAGAAACAGAATGCATGCATTCTTAGTCGACTGCTTAGGATTAATGTCAATTGCGTTTAGAACCATCAACCAAGTAAATATGCATCCTTTTCTTACGAGTGACATTCTACATATATACAGATAGGATAAGTAACTTTTACACTGTGTAAATACGTCCAAAATTTTTTAATGTTGATATACTATGTGTCGAATTTTTTTGGCTTTCTTTGTGTACTGTTTACTTCTTCATATCTTAAGCGTCTTAGTGAAAATCTTGACCTTTTCACTATATGTGTAGGTGAGGCATGGACAACTAAACTATAAATTAATTAAAAGGAATTTTTTCTATACAAGGAGAAGGCATGTTGATAAAATCTAGCCAGTTAATTGCAAAAGTTGTATGTGTTAAACATAAGTGAAAGAAAGGTTAATGCAATGCCAAATTAGCGTGACTGTTGGAGTTGTAAAATTTTATAATGATAGAAAGAAAGAGTGAGGGGAGATGTTATGAATTAAGGTCTTGTATTCTCATTTAGTTGTCAAATATATGATCCGCATTTAGTGTATGTATCAAAATTATAAATAAATGATATGTAATATTTCTTATCTATATTTCTATCATTTAACCTCTAGCTAAGTAACATATGTTTGACACTTATAATGTTTACTAAAAATCAAAGAAAATGCTTTTGGAATACTTATTCATATTTGCTTTTTTGTCATAATGCTAAACTCCAAAGTCTCAAAAGTACCAAAAGTGATGGCAAATGCATCTGAAAAAGGTGTCAACAGGGGCGAAGCTAGATGCGGATGTGCGGGCTCGGTCAAATTCAATAATTTTAGTTTAATTCTGTATTTGTATTAAAAAATTTACTAAATATATATTAAAATTAAATTTAGAACTCAATCACTAAAACTTGATGTCATTATTCTAAAATTTAGAATCCTTAAAATTCAAATTTTGTATCAATTGTATCAAATACCTGGACATTTACTTTTCTAGGACGACTCGTAGTGGCAGTAAATTGTGGCCTCTTGGCTAGGTTAGGCAACGTTTAGCCACAGAATCTAGCTAATTAATTAAAGTAATTACTTCACTTTACTAACAGCTTGTTTGGATGGTTGTTACCCATTGTATCGTATTGTATTGTTTTTTTTAAATAATGTTTGTTTTGATTGTTTAGTTAAAATTGATTGTATTGTATTGTTAAATTCATCGTTGCGAAACAATGAAAAGACCCATTTTTTGAAACAACCGATTTGGTGTGGTGGGATTGTTTCGTATTTTTTTTTCAATTATACCCTTCTTTATTACTCCATAATTCTATTTTACCTTTTATCTTCTTTTTTTTTATTTTAACTCCAAAGTCTAAGCTATAACGGACTTTGTCTTCCTCCCATTATTTTCAGAACTCCTTTTACCGTTCTTTGCCAACTCCACGGTGAGAGATAACAAGAATAAGTTCCGTCATTCTTACCTAATTTGTCTTCGTTCATTTCACGGTCATTATATTTTACTTAATATTTTACTTTTTTTAATATTATTGTTATGATCTAATTATGAATAGAGTGTACTTATTATTATTTTTAATATTACTATCTTGTTCCACTAATTTTGTTAGAATTTGCATAAAGTTAATTGATTAATCTGTTTATAAGACATAATTGGAGATAAATTAGTATAAATTAGGGGTTTTCTTAAATTATTTTTATGCGCAATTCTTGATAAATTTAATATTTAAAAAAATTGAGGGTATTTTAATAAATTTATCAGTTATAGTATAGTACGATATAATCAAATCAAACAGAAAAAATATTATTAACAATAACAAATAATACAATTTATCCAAATATTATATTTATAAAATAATATAATATAATATAATACGATATAACACAATACATTATAAAACGATGAGTAACAATGATACGAACAGAAACAGAATGTATGAGGACAACATTAGTTGTCATGATTATTGATGATTGTTACTCTGCTGCAAATATTTCTCAAATCTCAAGACCTTTTTGATTTGCTTAAACATAATGGAACTGCCGCCAGTATAATTTTAACAAAAAATTTGTTTCAAGGGAGTATTCCTCATCTTATCTTAGACTGATTAAAAGAAAAAACTAAAATGCAATGTATTTAGTGGTGCAATAAACAATGTAATGGCAAAAATAAATAAAAGATACCGAGACAGAAATAAGAGTTCACACTTAGATAAAACAAAATCAACCTTTCTACTTTTGATCGCACCTGAGCCCTTTTTCCTACGGTATACAGTTTCACAGTCAAGATTTCGACTTTCGAGATTCAAGATTTCTAATTATAGTACTACCACTATATAATAAAATAATCCCTCCATTATTCTTCTCTATCTCTTTACCAAATTTCAACGCGCCCCTTCCCCACAAACCTCATCTTTCCTTCTTAAAAACTCTCCTCCATTTCTGATCTTTTCTCTCTATTCTCCTTTCTTCTAAAAACTTCTTCTTCAATTTTACAATCTTGATATATAGGAACAAGAATAACATATCTGAAAAATCAAATGAAGATCCAGTGTGATGTTTGTAACAAAAATGAAGCCTCAGTTTTTTGTGTTGCAGATGAAGCTGCTCTTTGTGATTCTTGTGACCATCGTGTTCATCATGCCAATAAACTTGCTGAAAAACACCAACGTTTTTCTCTTCTCCAACCTTCTCCTAAACAAGTCCCTCTTTGTGATATTTGTCAGGNTTTACTTTCTTGATCATGGGATTTCCATCCCTTTTCAGCTGAGGTCTATCTAAAACAGCCTTTCTGTCCTTCCAGACAGTGGCGGATCTAGGATTTTAAAATTGTGTGTGTTCATTGATAAAAATTTTGAAAGAAGAGGAAAAAGGTATTTTAGTTAAGGGTGCTCACTCAATATTTATCTAAATATTTTTATAGTTGCTTGTGCAAATTTACTAAATCTTGTCAAAGATAATGTGTACTTGAGCATCCACAAATAACCAAGTAGATCCGTCACTACTTCCAGGGTAGGGATAAGACTGCGTACATCTTATCATTCTCACACCCACTCGTAAAAATTCACTGGATTTATTGTTATTATTGTTGTTGTTGATCATGGAATAATTTTTTTGTTGTTTAATTAATGACAGGAAAGAAGGGCCTTTTTATTTTGTCAACAAGACAGGGCAATTCTATGCAGGGAGTGTGATACTTCAATACACAAAGCTAATGAACATACACAGAAGCATAATAGATTTCTTCTCACTGGTGTCAAGCTTTCAGCAAACTCTGCCCTTTACTCTTCAATAGAATCTCAATCAACAACTTCCTCTACCAATTCTTTGACTAAAAATCAAGAATCTGCTCCAAATCTCAAGTCTCAAACTTCCACTAAAAAGCCTTTGCCTTTACCTGTTTCTGTTTCTGTTTCCTCCAATATTTCCCAAGAAATGACAGTGGCAGCTAATGACAAAGGAATCAGTTGTTGTAATAATCAATTGGTGAATGTGGGGGCAAATAGTTTAACAAGTAGTAGTATATCAGAGTACTTAGAGATGTTACCTGGATGGCATGTTGAAGAATTTCTTAATTCCTCTAATATTCCTAATGGTGTCTGTAAGGTTTGCATTTTATTCTCATTTTCATCTTTTAATTTCTATTGCTAAATTGGGTGTGTAAGTGTTGTCATGTGACCAGGAGGTCATGGGTTCGAGCCGTAGAAATAACCTCTTGCAAAAATGTAGGGTAATGCTGCGTACAGTAGACCCTTGTGGTCCGGTCCCTTTTCCAAACCCCGCGCATAGTGGGAGTTTAGTGCACCGAGCTGCCCTTTAATTGGGTGTGAAGGTGCTGCCATGTGACCAAGAGGTCACGGGTTCGAGCTGTGGAAACAGCCTCTTGTAGAAATGTAGGATAAGACTGTGTACAATAGACTCTTGTGGTCCGACCCCTTTTCCGGACCCCGTGCATAGCGGGAGCTAGTGCACATGGTTGCCCTTTAATTGGGTGTGAAAGTGCAATTATCTGATCTGATATTTATTTTGGTTATTTTTGTAGATTGGTGATAGTGATATGTTCCCAATTTGGGATACTGAAATTGAGAGCAATCTAAATTCTTTCTCCCCAGAAAGTATAGGTATTTGGGTCCCTCAACCCCCTGCTATTGCAACTCCTCAGCAAAATCAGACCCAAATTTTTACTCCTCAAAATTTTAACTTTGGTGGGCAAATTGAATTCAAGAACACACAAATTGAATTCAAGAACACAAAGGAAGTCACAAGTATCAAGTCCAGCAGAAAATGGAGAGATGACAATTCTTTTGCTGTTCCACAAATCAGCCCAACTTCTACATCTTTTAAGAGATCAAGAACTCTTTGGTAGTGGAGTGTAATCATCTTTTTCAGTGATTTCCTAGTTTGATTTTTTTTTTTTGGTTTGTATTTTCACCTTTCTTGATGTAGTTTGAGTCCTCGAAAACAAAAACAATTTAAAAAAAGGAAAGAAAAAAGAACATTATTACTCCTCTTTTGTGTATTTAGTTTGTTGTGTTCTTGAAATTACTGTGCTAGTGCAAGGATCTCTTTTTCGTTGTAAATATCTTTTATGTTTTGTTGAATCCCATAAAACTCATAGGTTTATGAATCAACGTTGGATTGGACCTAGGACACAATCACATGTCATGTCGTATCTCATAATTTGAGTAGAAAAAAATAACTCTACAAAGATTCCGATAAGTCACAGTTAAGAAAGGTACTTAACAACTTTTTAGTTATCCTTTTTGGTCTGGGAATAAGACCAATAAATAGGGTGACAGTGCACTGCACGACGGAAGAAGATGATTGTTATCAGATAAGATGGCCAGACTAGCAAAATTCGGAAGGATGTAGCAGCCATATTGTAGGGTCTGAAATCTTGGAATTCAGTAAAAGTAGCAACTTTGGTCCCAATAGTTAGATCCTTTTTTCACTCTGATTCACAACTTTGGACCCATATCCATCATCCATATTAGACTTTATCGCTAGTCCAATTAATGGCTGCATCTTAGGTGCGTGTTGGCGGAGCCAGAAATTTCGCTAAGAGATTCAAAAAGAGAAAAAATTTAAAAAAATTGTGGCTAATGAAAATTGAACCAACAAATTATCAAATGTTTTGATTTTCCCTTGACCAATGAGCTATGCTTTTGGGATATATCAAGGAAATCCAAATATAATATATAGAGATACAAACCGAATTTTGTATTACATTTACAATATAATTTTTCCGGCGAAGGGGGTTCGGTTGAACCCCACTTCCTCCCCCCCCCCCCC